AAGAGTTTACGCCAGTGTCCTGTTATATTTTAGATAGCAAGGAGCAGACGGCTGAGTTTATTAAACTCCACCGAGACAGCGGTGACTCAGATCTGAAGGCTGGACAGGGGTTTACTTCGGGTCTACCCGACCTTCTGAGGACCCGGCCCACGTAGACCGCGAAGGCCGGGTCCTCAGGAAGATGCAGCCCATGAATTTGGACACGACTTTAATGAAGGGGCACTTTCTGCATCCTGTGTTTCTTCCTGACTGTGTTCTCAAATATGTTGAACCACTCAGGACCTTTGCACTGAATCGACAGGATTATTCTGGCTTCAGTGTGTTGTTGGCACCCCCTCCTGTGGTAGAAGTGCACTAAAGTGAGTTGGTGATAATGTCCTGACGTCCTGAGTAAACGGTAACACCTTTCTTGTTCTCTTTTTACTCTCACTGTTTCTCTACAGTATGTGGCTTTTGCCTCACTCTTCTTCATCCTGCTCTCCATCTCCACATTCTGCCTGGAGACCCATGAAGTCTTCAACACCATCTACAACAAAACAGAGAATGTCACCGTCGGCAACGTGACACGTGAAGAGGTACGGTAAAGTTTCAGTGACACGCTTTGCCTAACCACAGTAGGTACTCTTTAAGTAGCACTCATGTGACAGATATTAAAATACAGTAGCATCGGCCTAAAACTTCACTACATACATAGTTGGGACAATGTTATGTCTTATATAAATGTTATTACTGACTGCCATCAGCAGCCACAGCTGTATCTGACTCAAACAGTATTAACTGCATGGCATTTAAACACTCACATAGTCAGGGACAAGTGACAATAATAACAGCATTGAAACACTCGCAACAAAGGGGACTAACAGCTAACAGCTAACAGCTCTAATAATGCATCCACACACGCAGCAGGTAGGAATATTAATAATAACAGCTCCATGCAAAACATTAACATTTAGTTATTGGCAACATAGCCTACACTCCTCATGTGTGGATGGCTCTGTAACACTGCTCTGTGATGTTTGGATCAAGGAAGGTCAGCTTCAGCCTCACACAACCTGCTTCTGTATTCTAGCATATGAAGAGAAACTTTCCTCGCATGAATATGTGGTCACCAGTGGAAGTGCACGGCCTTGTCTAAGAGTCAAAAATGTTTAAAACGTCTGACTTCTGAAAGCAAACTTCAGTGTCTCATCATAGTTCTATTAAACCCTCCTGCTCTTTGGGCATGCTTCGAGGCTGAATGGGTTTCTCACTTCTGCTGTTACTGGGAAATATTCACTGAACTGTCTGAGACCAGGTGCACAATGATGCTGACAGTGAGGATCAGGTTTATGTCAGACAGGAAGCTTCAAACTGGGGAAACCTGAAACATCGCCTGTCTTGACCTTTATTTGGAATAAACGGTGTATTTGTTGTTGTTCTGCACATCTAAAGCAGTGATGGACACTCCCTGTAGCCCCAAGTTCGGTTCTTTTAAATGAGAAAAAATGTCAGACTGGTATGTTAGCTGACCGAGTCACAGAAACTCTTCAAAAACATCGACTAAAGTTTTTGGCCTGTAAGAACATCTGCACATCTCTGTCCTATTTAAAAAGACCTGTGCGGATCATCCCCCTTGAAAGCCATCTTACTTCTGTATGGACCAAAAGGTCCTCTGAGCTGCGCTTTGATCTTCATATCTAATGCATTTTTGCAATATCTGTAGTCTTATTGAGCTGAATAGAAAAATATCAAATGCGCTTAATGTTCTCAGTCGGTTCTTAAGTTCATTTGGTCTGACTGCTATTTGCAGCAAAGAGGCATCAAGTTAATCTGTTAGGCAGCCTGCAGTACATGATGTCTGTTAACTCTGGTAGACACAGCTGTTTGCCAGTGACGTGTGGCGCACCAGCTTTTGCTGTGTGGAGACACAATATGAAGCTCATTGTGCTTTGGCATTGGGTGTAGCATATATCTATATGGCTGACTTTGCTGGTTCGCCTTTCAGCACAGTGTGCTCGGTTGTAGGATGTGATGGTTTCATGCATTTATTACTAAGAATAATAATTCAACCCAAGAAAAGAAAAGAAAAGAATATTCTAAGAATCTTCATCAATGCACATCATCCTCTGTCCCCTTCCAGAAGAATCCAAACCTGATGTAACTCACCGTTGTGTGCCGTTTGCTAAGTCGCCACCGTCACAGGTGCTGGTAGCTTCTGCTCACCATCCCAGCTTAGTTTGTCAACCCTTTGACCTTACACCTGGTAAGCTTGTAATCTAATGGCTGATTTAAGTTGTTGTCGTTCTTTTTCAAGAAGAACAAAAACATAGTTCGAACTCAATTTCAGTGATCTCGTGGTTAAGAATTAAATATATGTAGGAAACTTGCTGTGTACCACCAGTGGTAAGCGTACCACAGTTTGAGAGTGTCACGGCGGGGTGCGCCGGTGTGAAGAAGAGGTAGACCCAGATGCAGACACGGTGGAGACAGAACTAGGTTTCCAAAAATAAAGCGAGCCTTTATTGTGGCTGATGGCATGACAAAAACACTAGAGAACACTGAAACTGGGAAAACTAAGGAGACCAAGAACACTGTGTAACCTAAAAAGACTGACATATGACACTCTGTGAAGGAACTATGAAGAAACTATGAACACAGAGTAACTAGGCAGGCTATGAAACAGTGACACAATAACGGAAACTATGAAAAGATGAGGTGAGGATAACAGACGATCTGACCCCGACTGAGCAGAAACACATGGATTAAGTCCACATAAGGAATGATCAGGGGAAGCGGAATCACATGGGGAAAACAGCTGACAACAATTAACATAATGACAGGACAGGGGACGTGAAGCTAAATACAATAAACAAAAAACACAAGGATCCTTTAAAATAAAACGGGAAACATAACAAGACCCAGACATGACTCGAACTAGACCAACAAAGGAAACTTGGACATGAAACATGACAGATAAACACACGAAGACTTAACACAGAAAACTTCACACAGGGATGAGAACAATGGGGAGCTCGATAAACCATGAAGTAAAACTGTAACCTCGGCATGACAGGATGTAACTAGATAAACTGAAATGAAACTAGACTGAAAGGAATAACAAAAACATCAAGAAACTCAGAATACTGGGTCACATGACCCAGGACCATGACAGAGAGATCTCGCCACCAGGCATTTCAGTCCAGTCCAGAGAGCATATATGTTCACACCTTCATCTCGTTGTCCAATAATAACTTTGAGTTTTGATGAATGCTCAGGTCTGTTCATCTGGACATGTGTTTTTAGTCTTGAGACGGAAGGAATGAGTGACAGTGAAAACACATTCAGATAACCAGAATCAGCTTTATCTGTTTTATCTTTGTAAAGTTTTCAGTTTTTCTGCTGAAACATATGCTGTCCTCTGGATTTGATACTTATTTATCATACAGGCTGTACAGTACATAACATCAAACTTTACATGTTTAATGTAACTGAAATGTTCAATTATGTGGGCTACAGACAATAATAGTAACAGACTATATTTATATGAACTGTGTAAACTTAATGCATTTAAATGATTTAAGCACATGTAACACCTGCATGTGTGCCAGTGTTATAATGATCTAATCATTGAATGAAGTCTGAACTAGTTCAAGCAGTCAGCTCATAACATGGCTCCTCTCCTCACATCATATGACTAACACACACACACTCTTGGATTCTATTTAAAGTACAGCTTCCCCATCTCTCTCGCTCTAACATGTTAGTGCCATGGCTCCTCTTCATCACTGTTTACTACTAAGAAGTGTGAGCAGTGGTCTCCTCTCAATAAAGCCCAAAATGGCTCCCGATGGTCCTGAAACCCCTTAAAAAGCTGAAGCAGATATTTATACTATTATAGCAGAATCAGTATAAAATGCATGAAATTACACACTGGCATGTTGCTCAGTACTAACTTGTGGGATCCATCCCTTTAAGGAGATCCAGAGACTGGACCCAAACCACATGAGAGAAATGCCCTGAATGGATTCAGCCTTGAACTCGTGTCATCTCGTCATCACACTACCTGCTATTAAAATACAGAAATCTACTGTTCACTTGTGATTATATCAACTGTATATGTGCAGTCGTACTATATCTGTAATAATATTACATCTTAATAATAAAAGATGAGGTATTGACTGCATTGTATCGTGCAACAGTATTTACATTTGTGATTTGAAGTGTGGAATGAGAGGCATGAACATGCAGTGCTTAGACACCAGCAGGTTAAGCTGAAAACAAACCTTTAGTTCGGAGGCAGAAGATCCACGGAGGGAAAAATTAAACAGCAAAATCCAAAGTTTGTGAAGAACAGGGAGCACATGAGAGGATGTTGAAGAAAGACCTGAAATAGAACAAAGGAAGCAAAATTAAATGCAAGACACAGAAGACCAGCAAAAAGTAAGGATAATAATAAACACCGAAGGTCCACATGAAGGGAACACTGGGCCTATCATCCAGACGACATTAACTGCAGTACTTTTCATATCTATCCCTTTAAAGTCTTACATCGTAACACAGAAAATAAAAACTGATGCTGACAGTAAACAAGACATTTCAACATGCTGCAAGTTTTTAAGTGAGACTTGGAACCTGCTGGTTTCAAGTCTCTCCTTTTCACTCCCCCACGACACCAACAGCTTTAAAACGAATCCGCTGATAGAAAGAACAACAGGTGACACCTGAATAGATAAACCTATTGAGTGCTGAACGCTAACTATTATGTGCAGGTAGCCGAAAAGCTAAAACGGCTAGCATCACCTCAGCACTTACCTTAGAAACTCTATTCTTGTCTTAATATCAAGAGAGGGACGTTTCAAAATTTTAATAATGCCTCGAAGACTAGTCATGAAGATTTAGTGCCAAGGTGGAATAAAGACAGTTTTTTTTATATTCGTAAGCTATTACCAGTTAGCTTGAGTATACTGGCCTTGCAGATGCAGATATACAGTTGTGCTGCAGACTGTGTGTTCGTTTTTCCTGCCTCAAAGTTATTATTGATGTTTTTACAACAATTTTAGAATTTCCCGGTCTCCATAGTACTTACCTTCCATTTGCTGTCCTTCACCTGGAACGAAGCTATAA